CGTGGAGGAGGGAGGGAGGTCTGTGGGAGGCGGGCGCCGCCGCCTGCGTGGGGGTGGCGGGGGGGAGGATGTGGAGCGTCGGGTGCGGCGGGGGAACCGGTGGGGTGAGGGAGTACGAGGGGAGCGGGAGGGGATGGAAGGAGGTGGCGCCGCTACCCGTGGGAATGAGGCCGGGGCCAAGCCCGTGCGCGGCGGCGGCGGTAGCGCTTGGAGGCGCCGGCGAGAAGGTGCTCGTGATGGCGGTGGAGAAGGACGGAGATGGAGGGGATGATCGCGGGGGCCATGGCGCGTGGGTCCTGGAGGTGGGGTCACGGCGGTGGACGCACGTGGAGACGCCGATCGGGTTCACTGGGTTCGTTTTCTCGGCCACTGCGGTCCGGCTCTAAATTAAATCCTTGGACCGTTCCGGTTCAGATCCCCCAACCCGGTAAACTCGAGATGGTACCACTGACTCTGTTTCTTGTCTGCTTGCCTCTGCACTCTGTTGATATATACTTCTGTCAAACCTGCATAGACCTACTGCTTCAGTGGTTCTTGAAATAGGTCTCATGAGTTGTGTGAGAGTTTTCTTGTATGATTACCTTCCTTCTTCTTCTTCTTCCTTGTGCTTGGGGAATGGCTCTACTTGTTGTTTCCAGGCAGGAGACCAGTGTATATATAATGCTATATACCCTCTGTAATCTGCTTGCTCTGCTCACTGATGAAAGTAATGTGTTAGAGAATTGGATCTTTGACAATTACAAACTGTGATGACTAATCCACTGAGAAACACTTGTTGTGCCAAATAACTCCCAAGGATTAAGAGAACAGCTTCAGCCTCTGGTCTGCTGCTCTGCTTGTAATGCCTGGCTTCCTGGTTTCAAGGGAAAATTGAATGTTGTGTTACTCTTGTTTAAAGATTGAGATTTTTGGAAGGCGTGATCAGAATCTTATGAGAAAAAGTTTAATGAAGCATGTTGTTTGTTCACAGATATTTCTTCCCTCTTCTCTCACCAGTTCTGAACATTTATGTCATCCCTCTCTCTTCTTTCCATTCCTCCACATATTGTGTGCTTCTATGATTAAACTGATTGCAATTGGTGAAGTAGTGGCCATCTTCCACATATGGCTTTAGATTGGGGATACCACCAAAGAAAGGGGACTTTGGACTGTGGAGGAGTTCCATTCTGATCTCTATCCTGCTTATTTAGGCAACACTGTGGTAAACACTAAACTTGTCTCCACAGTTCTTTGATTTTATTTTGCTTATGATCCTGTTCTTTCAAAGATCTTCTGTTTCAGTGAGAGAGAAGCTTCATCAAATGAACTCCTTTTTCAGAATTATTACAGTGTGTTGTAAATTGGCATCCACAATCTCTTCATCCAGTCTAGAATTAGGAGCTGTATCCTACTACTTTATGCAGCTCTGAGCTGAACACCAACCTTGTCTCCAAAATTCTTAGATGTTGCTTATGATATTGCTCTTCCAAAGAGATCTTGTTTCAGTGAGAAGCTTCATCAATAGGAACTCCATTTTCAGATCCACCACACTGTGTTATCAACTGGCATCCTTGTTCTCTTCAACTATCCAGAAAGTGGAGCTGTTTGGTAATCTGTACTTTTCCTGCATTGAATTATTTGATGCATTAATGTGATGCTGGTGGAGATGCATTATGATTTCTTTTCTATGTTGTGCAATAACACTATTTTAATGTCAACCAGACATGAACAAGTGAGTCAGTCAGGCTTGTTCTAGTCCATATCTTTCATAACAATCTTAATTGCTATGCTACATTCCACAGAATCTTGTTTTCTTCTCTCATCTACATAGCAGCTTTTAACAGATGTTTGAAGACTCAGCCATGCAGTTTCTTGTTATCAGGTAAAACATGGAGTTGATCTGAGATCACCAATGTCTAGTGAATGGGAGAAACTTGCAGAGTTTTGGCCTTATACAGTACATTCTCATACAATTTCTACATCCAGAGCATTCCTTTATTCAATCCAACAACAATTATGTGATTTCATTCTTTTTGTCCTCTAAGTGAGATTTATCTAAAGATTAGTTTGTCATTATTCTTTCTTGGAGGCATATCATGATTCAATCATAATATCGATACATCGGTCGGATCAATTGGTTCATTCTGCATTTATAAATAAAATAAAATCAAATCAATGCACAATTTTTTCAGTCCAATCATTTGTTTGGTCTAATTCTGATAACTATATCTGATGGATGCATATGCTTCAATGATGGATGAACCACACTTCATCTCCAGCCACTCCTATGAGGTACATGGAATGTAGAACAAATTCTTACAGAAAAAAAGAGTTATCATCTCCATAATTTGCATGCTGTGAGGCACTGAAAGTAATTACAAGTTAATAAAATATAATTTGGATACTCCATACTATTCAACACGAGGAGCGAAGATTTTCAAAATAAAAAATAGAGATTTATAATAAATATATATATATATAAAAAGCTAGACGTAAGATTTGATATGATTCGATAATTTTCATCTATATTATAAAGAAAATCAAATTTTTTTTTACCAAAGATCAATTACAAGATCCTTGAGGTATATTCGCTTAAGCATAATTTTCTTATATATTTTTCTCACAAATATATTAGAAAAAACTCATAAATATCAAAAGTATTATTCGCATCTGTTTTTTACATAATAATATATATATATATATATGAGATAATTATGGATAAATTAATGAGGAATTTTTTACCAAGATTTATTATCTTTTTAGCATAAGAAATCTTAAAATACTTATAAATCATAAATTCCAACACTATTTGCATCGATATCAATAAGAGAAGGCAACTCATATAGGAAGGCGAAGGGATCCAACAAAAGCTTGTCGCGTGTACGATGATATAAGCGATGGGATTTGGTTAAGTAATAACCCAACATGTCTTACTGCAAGCTGAGAGTTTGACGCCATAGCTTTACAGTGTAAAAAAGTGGAAGCAACCACTCTTTGGCACTGTTATCGTGATTTGGAAGGAAGCCTGTCTCTCTCTCTCTCTCTCTCTCTCTCTCTCTCTCTCTGCAACACGCGCACACACAGCAAGCAAACAAGAAACCAGAAAGGAAGGAACGATGGTGACAGCACGTAGGTCGGGAGACGAGGAGGAGACTCGCCACGCCTCCTTTTCACACGGACAACCACAGCAGGGGAAAGCAAGAAGCGGCAAGCATGAAGCAACGCAGCAGCCGGCAAAAGCAGCACCACCGGCCGAGGGGCGGGGGGAGGGGGAGGGGGAGGGACGCATTGGATTCAATGAAGATTTTGTCTCGTAGCGAAGCAAGCCTTCGGTCGACCCCAAGCCGTGGCCGCTTTGCATGCGCCGCCTCGGATCGCCCGCTCTTTCTTCCCCATTCCCTCCCCTCTCTCCTCGACCTCTGGTGAACTTTGTTTTGACCATCAAAGCTGCCTTCAATTATTATCGTTTGTGTTTTGCTTCTTCCTCTTCTTTTCTTGCCCGCCTAAGGATGCAAAACAAATGTCAGCTCCAATTAAGTATTTATTATTATTATTTTTAATCGAATGTTAAATTTCCTATATATTTTTATCCCAAAAGATTCTTTTTTTCTATTTAAATAAAATTTTGATAATTAATTGTCATAAATTCTTTAAAAAAGGAAAAAAACATTATAATCATCTTAAAACTCAAATGACAAGTTGCATTCAAAACTGAAGTTACACTTTATTATAGTACCAGTCTAAAGAATCTTAAATTTTGATAATTAATTATTTATAAAAATTTTAAAATTATAAAAAGAAAAATATTAATTATCTTAAGATCATGTCCTAATTGCACTAATCATCTTAAAATTATATCCTAATACTTTCATAAAAAATTATGTTAATAGTAGAAGTTTACCGAGTTACACTCAAGATCGGACTAAGTTACACTCGTAGAACTTGTTCAAAATAATATCTAATTTTAATAATTAATCATCATAAAATTCTATAAAAATAAAAAATAAAAATACTAGCCATTTTAAATCATAGCTATATAGTTTAGTAAAATTGATCAAGTTACACTTCAAATTAAACTAAGTTACACTCGATCATAGAATATATTCAAAAAATCTTAAATTTTGATGAATAATTATTATATTTTTTTAAAAATAAAAAAACAGTATCGATCGTCTTAGAAACATGTCATAATAGTTTTGAGTTAGTTTTATAGAAGTTGATAAAATTATAAGTAAGTTGTATTCGATCATAGTATCGATTCAAAGACTCATAAATTTCAATAATTAATTATCATAGATTTTTAAAAATAATTAAAAATATATGAATCATCTAACAATCATGTCATTTATAAAAATATATGAATTAGTTTAGTTAAAATTGACAAGTTACATTCAAAATTAAATTAAGCTATATTCGATCGATCATAAAAAAAAAAAAATCTTTAATTTCAATTGATTTTTTTTTGTCATTTATAAAAGAAAATTCTTCAATTAAAGTGGACTGACCTCCTAAACTGGATCATGATATTGTATACTTGTCTGTTCCTGAGGGGGAAGGTGTAAGCTTGACTTGATCACATTCAATCTTTGTCTGCAGTTTCTGTGCTGAGACTTGCCCTCTATATCTCTCCCCCCCTCGCATGCACACATATTCTCATGCTGGTCTGAATAAACTCGATTTTCACTGATATCAATGCCTCTTCTTTTCCAAGCTACAACAAAAAAGCAAACAATGGAAAAAGAACAAGGAACAGAAAGCAATGAGAGGGGGTCAAATGTGATGTTTACAGCTCCTTAGACAAAATTATGACTGTTAAAACTCATGATCATGCTCGTATGCAGTTGCTATTAAACCATGTAAAGTGAATGAGAGAGAGAGAGACAGAGAGAGAGAGAGAGAGAGATGCATGCACTTCTTGTACCTTTCTTCAGAGAGAGAGAGAGAGAGAGAGAGAGA